AAATTTGCAATTACAATCCGGCCTTCATCAATCTGCCAAGCTTATAATTAGTAATCGTTTACTCGTGCAACAACTCAAAACCCTGAATATCTCTTTTAGTTGAAGCCTGTATATCAGCTTCTCAGAATGTTATGTATGTATTCAGGGTGGTTGGGTCTTCTTTGATAGGAAGGTTAAATACATAAAGGAACAAAAAGATAAGCCTGTCCTGGAATAGCATTTTGTTTCTTAGTAGGGGCCTAGTTTTGTTCCTGATGTCAGCTTTGTCAATTTTTCGGTTAAAATGAAAATGAATTAAATTTACTCATATATACATGTAAGGCGATGCAAGTCAAGAATGAGAGCAGTTATTAACATGATCCAAATACAAAGGATGCTTGTCCATTGTCAAACCTCTCCTTTTTCTACGTTGAGTTGTATATCAGTTTAAAGTACTTGGGATATTAGTTCAAAGAGGATACCAACAGCACTCAATGCCTCAATTTGTAATACCAAACTGAACGTTAAACAGTTTTTCGATCATTCAGGCTTCAAAATAATAGGTTTTTCTTTTCCCGATTTTGCAGGAATTTTCAAATCCAAACAACCAATTATTGACAAGTGTTGGGATGACGTATGTTAAGATAGACATATCTTCTGTCATAAATTTGCCACCAAACAAAATTTGCTAGGTATGTTTCTGTTCGTACTACGTTACTGTTAATATTAAGTACTACAGGCTCAGGAGAACTTTCCGGCGCTATTTTATGGAAAACAAACGAAGATCTTGTAGCCAAACTTCATGAGTCTATTCCAAGAACTCAAATATTATCGAGCTGATTTTGTATATCTTTTTAATATTTATACATCTGAGAGTCCCGACTCAGTTTCTAAGTGCAGATAAAATATAGCAATGAAGAGCCGCAATCAAAAGTTACTTCCATTTATGCAATACTTCTTTTGGAGAAATTATTCCGCTTTGAACATATCACATGTTGACAGTTAGAAATCTGAGCGTTATAAGCTGCTGACAAGGAATAATGCTGACTAAATAATAATCAATAAAGTACTGCTAAATTGACAATGAGGATTAGTTTTCGCTTCGTTTTACTTGAAATTGTTCTCTAAAATCAATTTATCCAATCTTCGTTTTGAAACTAAAGTTTCAAACAGATTCAAGCTCAAACGAAGTCATCTACGTAAAATCCCATCAATTTAGAGAAAAACAACTTTGCGAATTTTTAAGAACCTGGAGCTGTGCACAATTATTTGAATACATTGCATTTTTATCAAAAGCAAATGGCAAAAGTTAGAATCTACGACTAGAGTAGCCTGTTTTGACCTCGCGTGCTGTTTTTGGGTGTGCATCAATAAACGACATTCCATGTGAGGCGGCTGTGACCAAACATCGGAGGAATCTTTTACTGAAGCCAAAAAATGAAGACCTCTCTTTTTATTCTCACGGGTGAAACAAATATAAAAAAGTGACAATTAAACACCGAAAAAAGCTGTCTGTAAAAAAACTTATGAACAAGCCGAATTTCCCAACAGAAATACACGGTAAATTTGAAAATGACAATTAAGAAATGGACCTAGAATGAATTGCAACAGAATTTATTTGTGCGGCGTTGTGCATCTAAATAGCTTCGCTTTAATATGCAACGCCTGCCAATATTCTTGCAACATTTACGTCAGTTTTGAAGGGAAAAATAAGGCATCCCCCTCACCGCATTGAATAGTGTAGGTTTACAATTTAACGGCGATGAAGGCTAGGAAGAAAGTTCTGCGCTACTTCTATGAAATTTGTCTAAAATATCAACAGATAGGAAGTAGAAGTATTTGGGAAAAGAATTGAAGATTATAAAAACACAACGCAAATGTTAGGTGACCCAAGTACTTTTGGCAGGCATTGTCTAACAACTTCTAAAGTAAGGAAGGCTTTTGGTTTTTAGCTGATCCTCCACAATTTCATTGAACTGCCTATGTGTTCTTCTAATTGAACTTGCATGATCATCAAATAGGCATTAAATGTTATTTGAAGTAACGTTTGCGCCATCATGGTACTGCGAAGTCATATGCAATTGAATTCAAACACAGCAAATGAGCTATAAGGGAATTGTTGCAGACCACGGAAATGCGGTTACGACTTAAGGTTTTGTATACCTTGTTGGTATGAAAAGATATAATCCTGCATGTCTAGGTCCACAAATTAAAGTTTATAACAATGCTATTTAGCGTCGTAATGCTTGCCAAGATCTTGCATTGGCGTTGTTTTGGGTGGGCGTTGTCTCGCCGAGCCTCGGTCTAGAAAAGCAATTCACTGTGTACACCTGTCTCTTCTGCCACAGCACACGTTCTAATAAGGCACCACAGTTAAGACCATACTAGAGGTCTAATTAATTTGTTGATTGATTCTAAATTATTTCTTTCCATTTTGGAATAGCAAATTAATAACATCGCAAAATATATTTTTCAGAACTTTTTGTACATACTTTGCCATACTATCAACTCGCAAAATCCATGTTTGAATGTAGCAACGGCATTCTTTTCTTTCTATCACCTGGCAATAATGACCAGACTCTAAACCCGAGGCTGTGGATTAGTGAAGTACTTTTTTTTTAAAAAATCTAATATAATTAATAAAAATATAATTAGAAAAAATTTGATCAAGTGTAATTAGAAACGTAGCTATTTCAAAAAAGTGTGCAGGCCAAAAGTGTTGCTTTCTTTTTTCTAGAACTCATGATACCATGTCTATTATCTTCCTTTGTTTTGAGGTGCCATGAGAATCTATGAGAATCTTCGTTCCACCCAATTCATGGAACAAGAATAGTGTTAGAATGTTTTTGAGAACTTCAACATGATCCTTTGTAACTTTCGTACACTGAAATTTGTTTGAAATGATCATTGTCCTGCTAAAGTGTTGACTACGATCCTTTATAATTGCAAGCTGAAAAGGATTAAACAATTTTTCTTTGCTTCCTTCATTGATATGAAAGCTGTTGAAGTCATATAGAACCTTAATGTCGGGACTCATTAAGGCGTATAGCTAACTTCACCTCTCTCAACTTTTTCACAATCCTTTATATGCTGTTGTCATTGTATTTGTCAAAGACAATCACAATTTTTGTGCACTGGTCTGGAATGGTATCAGTACAGGTATTTCGGTCTCCATTTGTCTCTTGGTGGATGTGGGGCAAACCAAACATTTGGCTGCAGCAAGGTCCAAGACGTACCTGTTCAATTTCTCTGCAGATGCTAGTTCATCGGAGATAACGATCGTCACTTGTGGCTGTTTCATGCAATCTTCAACAGTCCTTCTGATGGCACCATCTGCTGTGCTGAGAGGCATTGACATAGTTGCAAGTGGATACGATAGAGTTGTCTCGAGATCTACACCCGCATTGTGCTTGTTCGAGTGTACATCTATAAGGCCAAGAATGTCTCTCTTAAAGCTCTTTTTTATTCCTTTAATGTTAAGCTTATCTTCACTGACGAATTCTTGAAAGTTGCAACGACTTTCTTTCCAGTTTTTTATTAAAATAGGAAGTAAGTATTTTCGAGGGTACAGTCAGCTGGTGAAACCCGTCAATACTGTCAGGTGTAACCAAGCTCATTTGGAAGGTTTTTCTGAAAGGGGTGGTTCTTTTCTAAAACCTAGGACAGGTGAACTTTAAAAAGGGTACTTTTTTAATCTGCAAAATTCACTGAAAAGGTGCTTTCTACAACCAACCTAGGACAAGATTACTCTTACAATTCGCTGACAATATCACAGGATCTCAAAGATTTTTAGCAAGAGCATCACCTCAATTTGATTCAATACATTTCCAAAATAAGGTTTTGTACGTATAAAGGTCATTTGCAACTTATAATAGTAATGTTGGTAGTTTTGTTTTACAATGTGTTCCTTTTTCACTTATCGTCATTCTAGACAAACCTATTAACCTATGAAAACAAGAATCGTATAAACTTCAGTATTCTCCAATAAGTACAGTTTTAGCCAACATAGTGTAACAGAATCATAGTGTAGCAGAGCAGGAACTCCTGTTCACTTTCTTCTTTTGTACAAAGTTCATTATCATTTAGTTTATTATCATCATATCTCAGTAAAAAGGGTATAAAATGTTTTATCAGTATAAAAAGATCACATAGAAGTCAGAGGAAAGGGGTCTTTCTTTATCTTTCGGATGAGCATGGGTACACAACTGATTGAGAATCGACAAGCCGGGCAATCTGACACATATTGCTTGTGCAGAAGTTCGGAAGACATAAAGAGATCATACATCGCAGTCCTCTGCCGCCATGTGAAAAAAACACAAGGCTTTATATTCTGCATGCAGACTAAATCTCTATGATTTTCAAGGTGGTTTGATGCTTCAGTTAGGCTTCCTAGTAGATAAATCATGGTTAAGGTGAATGAGGATTCTATTGTCAGAGTGAAAAAGAGCTTCACGCTTAGAGTGTCGAGTGCAGTGACTCAGAAGACGATCTTGAGGAACTTTGAAACGATTAAATTAGGTTTAGATGATCCGGTTGCTTTTTCATAGTGTCATTTATCAGTTAGTAATTAATAGCGCTTCATAGTTCCTTCGGACAGCAGTTCAAAAATTAGTCTCAACAAAAGATGCATTAAGCTTTTTAGTTGTCTATTTTAGGATAAAAATTTTAAGATTACGTGATTTTCTCGTGAAAACGAGGCTTTTCGCCCCCTTTAACAGACCATAATTCAATTTTAAGCATTTATGCGCAAGAAATATGCTTAATTAACTTAAAGACTTCAACTTTTTTTCATTTAAACTGATTTTTCATTGATTACTTTCATATATGCAAAAACGAGACTTAAAACATGAAAAAGAGGCTACTGGCCCCCAAAAATCCCGGTATAACATTGATTTTCAAAATCAGCACCCTCGAATTGACCAAAAGCACTCGGTCCCATAAATTTCGCCCTCGGGTGACCATTCCCATTCTCCGCCTGGTCTATTGTCTTTTGAGAAAAAGAAATTAAAAAAAAGACAGAAATTTTCTATTATCTATTATTCATATACTACATCTATTGCTAAACAAAACTTTTTAAAGAACAAAACAAATTTTAATAGGAAATATATTCATTTTACTATAAGCCAAAATTACTAACAACCTGTTAAATAACTCAGCTTATATCACACATGGTAAAAAGAATAAAAAACAAACTTTTACAGAATAGTGACAATGTAAGTGACTGGCTTCTGGTTCAAATTTTTTAAAAAGCATGACAATATTCTCAATAGATAACCTTGCTGCAAAAATTTACAGTCAAAAGAATATTCTTATGAAATCAAACTGCATTGGGGTTTCAGATGGATCGTCAAAAAGCAAGAAAAATGAAAGAAATTTATTCTACCTGTTCTATACTAGATCCATTATTAGTATTCTAGCCCTAATCATTTATATACACACAGAGAAATTTCAACAACAAACATTTTTTCTCAAATGCATTTTTCTATAAAATTCTATAAAATGAAATATGTTTGACCAATAGACTTCTTTGGTCACAGGGTGCTTTAAAAGTCTCATAATAAAGCTTAATAGTCAATATTTTTCCTGGAAGGTAAGAACTAGAAGCAACATGTTTATGACTGGAAAAAACCTTAAATAAACAAAACTGACCTTCATAGCTTTAAGCTTTAAAAAGTTATATTACATAACAGACATAAGCTACATCACCCTACTTTTATATGTATGCTAATGTTGCAAAAAGCCATAAAAAGTTAAAAACAATAATTTCACTAAAAACAAAGAAAACATAATTTATACATTGTATAAATGCAAAATGTGAAATTACAGGGTCTGTCTTCCCAGATCTATGGGAAAAAATATAGACTGGCAGTGTGGCTTTCAACAAGCTTTTGCAATCTTGGTTCATATTGGATGAAGTAAGCTCAGGCAGAACACTATCCCTCTATATTTAGCAATATTGTTAATGGAGCAATTACAGGTATCTTGAACAATGGAGGCAGTCATTTGCACAAAAATATTTCAAATATCATATACAAAGGCCAGGGATACATTTCAAATTTTCAATTAAAGTCAACTGCTAGTAAAATTATAAGAAAATAACATCTTTAAAACTTGATGAGTATAGCTTACAGGTCTTATGAATTGATCAGGGTAAAAATGGGTCTGCAATATATTTGCTTGCAAGTAAAAGCCCCAGAAATTATATCTTGATTACAGATAAATACAAAAAAATAAGAAAGACTGAAACTAAGAGCATAATTAACTATACATGTATATATGCGCTCTATCAAAATTTTTGCTACCCACAAGAATTATGACTACATCTCTGAGTAAAATACATGAGTAATACCTTTTCTATATCTTTATCTATACAAAATTCAATGCAAAAATTGCAGCCTTTAACAATTCCTGTCACTGAAAGACATGAGGTTTATAATTGGCTTCCTGGCTACTTACAGCAATATGTTATCCACCAACATCTGATCCGTTCATTGTCACCTGCAGTAATCAAAATAATTCTTCATTTAGAAAACACAGACCTAATTTTTTGTTGGTAATGCTAGGAAAAGGTTCCAGTGTCTATAGCTAAGGCCTAACAAGGGAAAGGAAGGGGATGGAAAACATTCCAAAGTTTATAAGATCTAGAAAGAAAGGAAGAGTTATGGGATTGAGTTTCTGCATTTTGCAAAGAGTTTTGGAAAGGGTGGAAAGGTTTAAACCATTCTAAATGTTTATATTGTGCAACTTTCATGTATACCAAAACTTCCATGTTAACAAGTCAGATATCTAAATACACAACACATACTTTTCAGCACTTGAAAAATCTGAAGAATAAACAAAAAGCTATGCAAAAGACAAAAACCAATTGTAATAATAAAAACAAGCTGTTCATTCAATGGAATCATGCTCCTGCACAGGCTTCAAGGAGTCATCAACGGTAATGACCATGGGCCTAACCAAATAGAAGTTGTATGCCACAGCTCTGACTCTCAAGGTCTTCAAGAAATTGTGGCTCTCAAATGTGTACTTTCCTTTTATCTATTGGGAGGAGGGAGCAACCACCCCCTTGCCTCACCCACCCCAGGTGTCTGCCACTGGTTGCCAGGTACAAGCACATTTAGGTGAAAGATGGCAAACAACCACAATTATATTTTCTATCTAGATTGGAAATAGAAAATGCAAACAAAACCTGGACAGAATCTGATCTGATCAAGCCCCGTATGCTGAGGCAAAATATTAGCCATAACTTATTTATGTGTGTTTGTTGTTGTTCACTCTCATCATGTTGCGGTGTTACATATTCATATACTACATTTTGTAGGTTTTTCACTGCTTATAGATAAAGACTTCAATAGGAGTCCTTCAAGCAGCCTTCACACAGAATCTGATGATTGATTTACATAACATTTAGCCATAAACATACTTACGTTCCATTAGAAATTTTAGTCTGGCAGCATCTCATGCAATCTATATCTGTCTTTTATATGTGGACGGACATCTTCTTTAATTTCAGCCAACTTTTCCAAAAACGGTATGAGCTCCAACAACTCACAGTCATTTTTGTCCACAAACCAGCTTTCAATTGGGATGCCGTTTGACAAGTGGTAAGCAAATGCTTGAGGAGAGTTGTCTATCATTATTGTTTTGCTAAGGTCCCTGCCTAGAATTGACAAATCTTTGATGTAGTTTCCCTCAACATAAACACAGTGTTCTCTATACAAACGATGGCGAAACAGCTTCTTCTTTGGGTCAATGATATTTAGCAATTTTTCTGCATAAACTCTTTGTGAAGCTGTGAAAAGTATAACCTCATATAGCTTAGAGACCTTCTCTAAAAATTGTAGCATATATGGACGAGTCCTCACAAATACTTGGTAGTTTACATCTTGATATAATACTTCAAAGGTGACAGCTGCATCCTGCAAGGCTGTCAAGCTACAATGGACCAGGGTTTCATCTAAGTCCAAAACAAGTGACATGTCTCTAGTTTTCCGGGTCTTTAATGGAAGAACTGGTGGACGGTTTTGGAGTTCCATAGGAAGAGGAGGGACATGCTTTATAAAATAAAAAGGGTCGAAGACATCGAGATCATCCTGATATGTAGTGGCGGGCCTAACAGCAGTGTACTCATATCCATTGATTACATGCCGCTCTTTCTCTTTTACTTCATTCTCAGCACCTTCCGTCGAATCTATGTCGTTGCCACGTGTGTCAGTAATCCCCATCGAATTATCCTCTTCCTTTACGCCATTTTTAGAAAACAGGGAAAACACTGGAGAAAATAACGTCCCAAGTATTGACTTCCTTTCTGACTTTCCCGTGGGGCCTTCATCACCAGGGAATGTATCCCCTTCATAGCTTTCACCATTTCCATTAAGCTGACCGCCGCCTTTAACTGATTTAGGGATGCTGGTAAATTGATATGCAGAGCTTGCCCGTTCAGGCGTCTGAGTGATAAAGGAATCGTTGCCATTTTGATCAACACATTCCAATCTTCTTCGTTTCGCCTGCCTTTGGATTTCACTGTCTCCACCTGACCACAAAAAAGTTTTGATCGAAGACAATAATCCATTAGCTTTGTCAGCATAAGATCCTTCTTCTTCACTGTCAGTGCTCTTTGATTCCTCAGCATCACAGCGCTCACGTTTTTTTGACTTCAGCGCGGGTGACATAACGGCCTAATTTGGACACGCACTTTGAATGGACATGAATATTCACCTTACACTTTGAAAACAACGCTGAATCCTTCAAAAACTACATAAAAGTCAGAGATCGCTTTTCGTTAATCGAAGTACAAGTGTTACAGATGCCAGGCCTCTTCTTTCATTACTTGTTTTCATTTAACGAATGTCGATAACTCTTTATATTATGCTCATAATTTTCAGTGCTGAGCAATGCAATTGATCGCACGAGTAAGCATGCTGAGAGACTGACAATCATATTGATCAATCAATTGTGACCGTCTCGGCGGGAACTAGAGACGCCCCAATCAGTGGGCAGCTCAAGTAAAGGAAGAAAGCATTTGCAAAATATAAGAAAGGAGGTCATTCATAATTCTTTATGCCATAAGAAGTTTATTCAGTAGACCAAATGAAAGGCTGGCGACGTTTGAAAGTGAATGGAATCCTCTGTACAATGAAAAAATAAAACGTTAAAATCTACAATTCAAATATACAAATTTTAACAAAAAAGCAGAAGGAGTGTCAAAATAAATGAAAGGAATTTGTTTCTAGGATTTCAGTAATTATCATTTTCGTCAAGGCCATTTAATAATACGGGACACTTGTGTATATCAGTTTTGGTATTCCGAAGATCCTGAGTACTGGTTTCTGACAACCTGGCGAACAGGCTTGCAAGACACGAGGGAGCCTGTTTTATCTAAAATGACTGAGGATATGGTTGACAAACTGGCAAATTACAACAAAGAAACAACAAGGTCCCCGAATCTTAAAACGACATTCGTTTGTTGGCTGAGCAAAAGCTTCTCCAGAAATTTGTATTTTCCTTCCATTTTTTTCAGATTTTTGAGAAATGACAAGTTAATATGTAAATATGTAAAAATGTGAATATGATTCTCTGTAAACAGGCACGAAGCCAAGGGTGGACACGGGGGACATTGCGCGCCCAACTAGAATTTTTTAACCCTCTGTGCCTGGCCAAAAATTCTAGGATAAAAACATGTTTTTGTCTAAAAACATGGAAAACGGCATCTTCCTACGTGAATGTCGAAAAAAGCCGGTCTCAACAAAGTCGGTGCATGTGTTCATTCATGGCAAAAAACCAATATCTGCTGTTCACCAGTCCACACAATGCTATATCGAGTCAATCCAATGACTATGCTTCAGAGACATTGAGCATTGAGCAAGGTAGATGCTCCCAACGAAGTCGCCAAGCTGCAAAACAGAGTCAAACTTCCTTCATTTTGAACGAAATCTTGGTGTTATTGCAGTTTGATGACCTTTTAGTTACGATAAGGCTCCGTTGCTCCTATCATTATGGCTAAGTTCTCTTTTACTGTCAATTTTTGGATTTATTCTGTTAAATACGTAATAGAAAACAAGACTTCCCTTTAGATGCTTGCGTTTCTAATCGCTAGTGAAGGAAGATTACCAAGTCTCTACAAAAATTCATTATATTGCAAAAAGTATTTATCCGGTGGCAGACGATAAATCTGTACCAAACCACAGAACAAGAATAACTGTGATCAAACTCTGTATCAATTGCAAGATGTTAAATTTTTGAGTTTCTTCAATACCGTTACTTAAGTTCTTCAATACCATTGCTTAAGTTCTTGCCTTTAAATGATAACAGGGGTGTCACTAAAGGAGGGCGCTTACCCCCTCTGATTCTTCATCGGCATATCATTTTTTCTCAATTTTTATGTAACAGTTGTAATGTGTTAAGATTTCTGTAGCAGCTCAACTTTAAAGTATTGCTCTAGAAAAGCTTGAAATTGCAATTGCAAACTTCGGAATGTTAAAATAGAAACACGCAAGAGCATCAAATGAAATTACTTATCTTATGACCACACCTAAAAAGGGCGAGGAACTTACTTTTTGTCGGTAAAAAGCAATACTGTAGGTCTCTCCAAGAAATTTTTTGGCTTCGCCCCTGTCAGCCGCCCACCTTTTCAGAGCTGACTTCGCGCCTGTCTGTAATAGCCTGTGTCCCAGACCCCTAACTTGAAAGTAGGGGTCTAGAGCACAGGCTACTGTAAACGTTCTTGGGTTTCAAAAGTATCTTTCGAAAACCTTCACAGAGCCTAAAAGTGATGCATACTTAATACTTCAACGAGTTTTTGAGAAACATATAGCTAGTTAGTCAACTGATTTATTTTACTACTCGAGATAAAAAGTTTCAAATATCTGGTTCTTATAGCAAAGAGTCTTTACCATCTACTGGCTTTGTCCTGGCCAGGCCTCCGTTTAATGATATCGGATCAACATATTAAATATCTTCCAACTCTTTCGCTAGACTTGATATAGGGTCTTTGAGAAATGAAAGGTGATATTTCCACCACTGATCAGTGATCTCCACTCATTTTGTATTCTTTAGAGAGAGGGTTGCTACGAAGGAGAACTTGTTACCGTAGCAACAAAATCATGAAAACGAGAACAAAAATGGCGGGAGTTGAAATGATATGGGCATAACTTCCAACGACATTACCTTCGCGCTTAATTTATTTTTCGGTGAGTGTCAAACATAATAAATAGCAAATATCTGTAAAAAGGATGTTGATTGTAATTTAATAAAAAAGAATACAATCACCACGAAGAAAACGTGTTCCTCATTATAAAGTCTAGGGCTAGCTCATACGACAACAGCCAAATATTATAAAGAATAATATTTATTTACTTCTACAGGAGTTTATAAACCTACATTTTATAATCGTACAGTGAAATATAGAATAAATTCCGTTCACCATTTGAGGAAAAAATATATAATAGAAGGCAAGCGCTAAGGGTGACATTTTAATGGTGCGCTAAAGGCTTTAATATTCGAAATGCTGTTGGATATGATGCTAAATTTCTAGATTGAAACTCCAGTACCCCAATGTCAAACCGTCTCAATTATTGATGAAATGCACACATCCCACTGTAAATCAATGAATTTAAAGAAATAAACAAGAGAAGGAATTAGGTTGTAGGGAACTTAACATAGATTGTGGAACACCTGGGTTGAAGGGAATGAGGTTATAGAACACTTGGGTTGTGGTCGAATTAAGCCCCCATTACTCCTTTTTCCCTTGCTATCAGAGAAATAGTAAAGCTAATCACTGGTGGATTTAAGGAGGGAAACTAGGGGCAGATGCCCCTCCCTCAACGAGGAGTTGAAGCAAGTCTGGTGCCCCTTTTTGGAAATTGTCTGCCCCTTTTGAAGAAAGAGAATCAAGTGAAAAAGTTTCTGAGACAGATAGGTCAATTTGCTTCAAGGATTACCTCAAAGTTATTTTGTCTATTCTGAAAATAGATATGAAATTGTTGTATACAACATACTCTCCTCACCAATTTTTAGAATTTTTTCAGTGCCCCCACTACCAACTGCCTCTCCTTCAAATTTGCTCTGGATCCATCCCTGAAGCTTTATTCTATTTTTAAAGGTAAATCATCTTGCAAAAGCTGATAAAGGTTTATTATGTTAAAGGAGATTCAATTATCTATGAAAAATTTTTATTGAAATTTCAAATGATTTTTTTGCAAAAAAATTTATTAACGTTTCTACTTTGTTTGTTATTAGCCAGGTAACTATTTTAGCAGCCTTGTAGCTTGTATAGCACAGAGTAATAATTTGATATTAACAAAATATTTAAAAAGCAAATGATGGCTTAAAAGTATTTCAAAAGAGTATTCGATCACAAGATATATCTATACTTGAGCTTTCATGTGGACAAAATGATTGACAAAAAATGCATTTTTTCACCAGTTAGTGATAATGGTGAATAAGAGTTAATCAGAAAATCATTGCTTGGTATGTAAATCCATTTAAATGAGTATGTACTTATTTAAATGGATTTAAACTGCAGTTTTCCTGACTTACCAATTACACCAATTTTAAACATGAAGAGTTTTGCTTGAAATGTTGTAAGAATATTCAGCTTCCATGTACAAAGTCATACTTTACCATATTGACTTGTATTTCTTGAAAACATGCTTTGTAAGAAACTAGCAAGAGTAGACAGCCTGTTCTTAAAGATTTAGACACTTTTTACCAATTGTTGGTATTTATTTGTTTATTCAGTTCTTTGTTTTCATTTTTTCTTCAATATGGCATTGTTGTCTAGAAATTAAAATTTGACACATGACTTAAACCAGTGTACAAAAAGGAGCAATATCATCACAACATTTCACGCCTCTTCTTCATGCTTCTCTGACCTGAAAATCTGAAAGCTAAATGGTCCATGTTATTTGAAGTTGCTTTGCCTTGTTTTGAATATGTGAAATAACTGCTTAATTTTTTGGGAAATTCAGTAGTTCAGTCACATTTCTTCATCATTCTAATACTTTGAAATCTTCTGAGAAGGATATAATTTTACCTAGCAAAAGTTATTCACAGTGTGGTCTTCAATCTGCACATTTTTGCAATACAAAACTCAAGCTATTTTCCCTTAGTAACAATGGTTTAGGCTGGTTTTGAATAGATGCACTATAGACCAGGGCTATTGCCATTCATAATCAGAGCAATGCAATGACTAAATATGCTTTTTAATTTTAAATAGGGGATAATTATTGAAATTATCCCCTCATTATTTCTTTTTTTCAGTGCCTTGCTATCTTGAAGATGTAGATAGATAGAATGTCTTTCACATGAATTAAAGTGAAATTTCATGCTGGCTGAGAAGGTTATTTCCAGATCTCCCAAAAAACGCTCTTTTAAGAAGATCTTTAATCAAAGATGTTTAAAATATATTAGAGATAATTATTTCTCATTTTTGAATCCAAGCATTATCTAAACTTATTTCAATGATATGTAAAAATGATGTTTGCACAAGTTTGAAAAGTGAAAATGTATGTTACTTTGTAACTGGATCTTGTAAATTACTTTGTTTGATTTTTTATTTCAGAGTAATGGTTTGCAGAGCAATCATAAAGCACCAAAATGCCAACTGAAAGTCTTCCTGAAATCACTCAACTGCTAGACCTTTGGGACCATAGCACTAAGTCTAATAGAGCAGACATTTTGAGATTATTCATAAAAGAATGCAGAGGGAAAACTGCACCAGAATTAGAGAATAAATTTTCCAGAGCTGGGAGCCTGTTTTTAACTCGTCTGACAGCATGGGTGAGGCTGACGTATCTTTTCAGTCAGAAATTTTTGGTCATTTTCAACTACAACACAGCAAATTGAGGCATCACTTTTTTTGCCTATCATACTCCAATGGTCTGCTACATTTGGAGCCTGTATTTGCGCTGTTTCATTGTCATAATAATTTTTAGTTGGCCTTTGTATTATTAACAGATATTTCACTGTGACTGTGATACTAAAGATGTTATATTATAAAAGGTTATGGAGGTAAATTTTTCTCAGCTATTATTTATATTCATCAACTGTATAACACTTGACTTGATTTTGAGAAAATATTGAAAATGGTTCCTGAATCATTTATCAGATACATGACTGGTCAGAATTTGAAACTGCAGCTAGAAGCAATAATGGTTTTTGTTGGATCTTCTAGTGGGTGGGTTTGATATATGTTTCATTTTATGGCAACACAAATAATTTGTAGAATTACGATTGCATGGTACTTGTTGTTGAAATTCTATAAAACAATGCATGTACAGATCTGTCTATATGGAATCAAGAACTATATACAGGGCTGGAAAATGTCCGGCAGCGGTGCTGCCAGGAAATTTTTGGAACAAATTAACTGCAGGAAATTGTTGATGTTTGCCAGGAAATTTTTAACGTGAAATCTCCATTGCTTGATTTAATGTTACAATGTTTCTATGGAATACTGTTTTCTTGTGATATACATACTGTAAAACTTTTGTTCTGCACTACCAACAAAATGATTTTCAGCTATTAATTTAATTCCAGCAAGCTAAAACAAAGTTCATTCCTTTTTTTACATTAGCCATTCTATTTATGTAAAAACACTTAAAGACAGCCAATCTTGTTACGTCAATTGTTTTGAAGGTGAACATGCCCCAAAACCTGTGTGGATGTGTCCATTATTATTCTTTTTTTCTACTGGCATTCACATATATTTTTCATCACTTGCTATATAAAATGTAAGCGTTTTGGTCTTAAATCTTTGCCTCTAGCACCACCCCTGATTTAAAACATTAATTTTAACCATTATAAAATAAAATAGTATTCTTACATGTTGTATGAACTACTAGCTTTGATGATAAACCCACCCAGAGCAAGATGAATAGATGTATCAATACTTATAAAGTATCTAGTTTGCTAGTACTGATATGAAATTTAATCAAAGTTATTATAGATTTTCAGATTTACTTTCTTTAACCTTGAAAACAAACTATGAGTATCGTGCTTGATCATGTTCTCCTTGATCATCTAATACAGTATAAACAAAATGATTCCTGTTTCGAATAGCTATGATCAAGATTGCAGGACCAACAATTAGCTCTTTTTAGTGTGACAGTTTGTTTTTAGGACAAATTTTTAAACAAATCAAGCAACTTGAAATATCAATTGCAGTGGCTGGAAACTTTCTCGAAGCTTCGCAGGAAATCTTTAATTGTTTATTTTGCTGCCAGGAAGAAAATTTTTTTTCAAGGCCTGACTATATAACAGGCTGGAAAAACTATAATTTTTATTACAATGCTCCTGCAATGGAACAACCAGCATAAGTCAATTACAACTCCTAATTGCAACTTAAAGCCATCCTGTTCTATACAAAAAATTGTGTACAGCTTTCCCTCTGTGGTATCAAGCACTGAATGACAAGCCTTTCAAACAGTTTATTTTCCTAATATAAAAGGCGATGTACGATAAGCATTTGTCTTTTCTTTGCTTGTCTGCTGCTAAGTTATATATCTAAATTTACATCTAACTAACTTGTTCTGGAGAAGATTTCATTTTTCTATTAGTCATAAATACTTGGCCGAATTTCTTGAAGTTGGAGGAGTCCTTACAGTTTTGGAAATCCTTGGATTAAAGCAAGCAAAAGAGGTTGGCTCTTCCTGTTTTCTAATGAATGTATTGCCAAATTTAGAGTTATTTGATATTGCCAATAATAGAATAAAGCATTCTGTACATATGTATAACTGAATGCTATTTTAATCACTATGATCGATTTTAGATAACTCTTGAAGGTCAGTTAAGATTCATATGGTCCTTATGCAAAGGAGAACTTCTTTTCAGCCAACTGCATGAAATTGATTTTTTTCACTCTATTTTATGCCGCCTTTCCCTAGGTGGTCGCCAGGCAACCATTTGCTTTTGTGTAACTGCAGGATGGTACAATTTGTTGATCAAGCCGATTTCAGAACCTACAATTTTCAATGTGTTGATTTGGCAAAGAACAATTTTATCCTCACATGCAGTCCTCTTTTTTATTATTGAAAAATATTCTTGCTAACTTCATATTCTAGATCCCCATATGAGTTTTTAGTAATCACACAGTAGCTTGATTTTCTTTTAACTGCTTCTTAAGTGCAAGATTTCCATTTAAAGATATCTCGTGCAAAGTAAAGTATGCCGGTAGCTGTAGAGAACACTTGGTGCCTACAAACCACTTCACTTTAAACTTGTCTCTTAAAATGAATATTAACTAGCATCAAAGCTGGTTAAATAAACAAAAGGGGTCGTTTCACCAAGTCGATAGTCATTTCAAATGGGATGATGTCATTTTCACTGGGAAGTCTCAATTTTGACGCACTTTTATTGAAAAAATTAGTTTTTTATATATAGTTGAGGCTTATTTCTGTTATTAGGAAGACAAAACAGAGGGTCTGAAGCTGCTGTCATGCATCGCTAGCACAGGTAGAAAATACAAGGAGCTCATCTGTGAAAGCTTTGGTAAGCATATTTGGTGTTTAAAAATGGTAACATGGTGACTTCACTGTTTTCACTCCATGTTTGCAATGTAATAAAAGTGCTTACTGATCACCATGCTTGTTGGTGGCCCTAGCTATCTCTTATTGTATCTAGCTATCTTCTAGCTATCTTATGTTGTTTTATTTCTAGCTATCTCTTATTATATCTAGCTATTCTCTATCTATTTTTTGTTGTTTTATGCTAGTTTTGCTATCAGTTAAGCCGAAAGATTTTTAAACTAGATGTGTATTGAGCAATTCTTCAAAATCGTAAAAACAATTATTGTTAATTCATTCAATACTGTTTATACCAGTTTGTATCAATGTATAAATGCATTTTAGTGTTAAACGTTACTAATGGCAACAGCAGCTGTGTATTCTTTTCGTAATGCAGATGCAGTCGGGCAGGTAAGGGCAAGAACGACAAGATTCAAGAACAGCTTTTATCCCGACTGTCTCTCTGAATAGAACACATTTGACCCAAAGATTAGGTTATCACCCTCACTAAATATTTTTAAAACAAAATTATCGAAACTTATCCGACCAACTCCTAAACTAGTATACGGTATTTATGATCCTAAAGGTCTAGCTATTCTTACTCAGTTACGGGTAGGACTGAGCAAACTAAATTATCATAAATTTAGACATAACTTTAGAGATACATTCAACCCTTTGTGTCCCGCAAATGATGGGGTAGAGGACACCGAACATTTCCTGCTGCTCTGTCATTCGTATAACCGGGCTGTTCATTTAGGAAGAAGCCGCAATAAGTACATATAATCATAAAATGAAGAAAATTTAAAAAGATATAGATATAGATCTGATCTTCTCAGTAGTGTGAATGCAATATTGCTCCTTCGTGGTTTTTCGTCTCTTTCAAATGAAGTTTTACTCAAATTTATTTTGTATGGCGACGAGCGACTAACTATTGACTCAAATAAGAAGCTACTTCAGGCAACGCTCAAATTCATTCATGCTTCAGAACGCTTTTAAATATTCCATTGCTGCACACTTCTATACGTTAGCATCTACTTTTTTATTGTTTACTCTGTATTCGTAATTAGTCTTCCTAGTTTTAGTTATCTTTCTTACTATCCTTGTTTAATGTTGTGTGTTTTTATGTATTGGCCATGGGGTAGTCATTGTATTTCGCGTATCATGGTATCGTCCCCGTAGTGTGGTACAGTAACTAGGGTAGTATAGTCAATGTAAAATTGTATTGTTATTAATTTCTATGAATAAAAAAATAAAAAAAACAGGAGTTATTTTTTCAATATATATGACATCATTCTTTGTTTGTCTTTTCTGGATACCTTTTTTATTTAAACCATATTTTGTTCTATAGAAGAAATCAGCGTTTTGTGGTTGATGTTGTTACTTATGTCTCATAAACCTTTCTTGATTCTCAGGTTCTTGATTCATTAGTGCAATCAAATTTATCCTTAGCCACCTTCATTGACTTTATGGCCATACAGCCTTTCAACTATCTTTCTATCTATTCTAGGTGTAAGAGCCATTGCTGAATGCCTTGCAAGATCTTCTAGTGTCACCACGCAGGAGCAAGCAAGGTATCTTTTACAGGAATTAGCCACAGTAAGTAAACCAAGCGTAATTTTCGAAGCAAATAAAAAATCACTGTTTTCTATGACCCAATGGTGAAACAGGGCATCCCAAAAAAGATTAAGATTCAGTGAATCCAGGGGGGTCTTCATGCTTTCATTTCCGAAACATTTTAGTGGCAAGCAAATGTACACACCAATGTACACACCAGTGTAATTAACAATACCAAGATGCCTAAAATTAGTAAAAGATCGGCTAAGAGAGCTGTTTTTCAATATTATTTTCTCTTTTTCATGCCTACTAGATGATTTTTCGACTTAAATTTAATCGAATAGAACGTTTTTTATAAAATTCTTTGAAGCTTCTTAGAAGTTTCTTTAAAATTTTCTGCTCATCACAGTGTTGATTATTATTATTTTTTTATCATTAATTTATTACAGTGTCTTTGTATTTAGCAAACTGTGCTAATTGGGGATACTATTTATTACTACCAATAAAATATAATTGCTTAGCTAAACATTTTATCTATTTTTTTAAAAAATGATGTAGGATGTTGCCTCATCAGAAAAGCAACCCAAGATACACAACAAGTAAAATATTTATCCCCACCCCCAACCATCCGCAAGTACTCCACCCAAGTTAAGCCTAGTCCCCAGAACCTAACCCCAAGCCAAACCTCGCCTGCGCAGACCTTTACAGATTAGACCTATGCAGAAGCTTTTTTAAAGATAATAGGAGGTTGATTGTAGCTTCAATATTTTATGCCCTTTGCTAGATTTTTATATCTTTTTATGTGCGTGAAGCTTTAAATGGTTATGACTTGCTAATCTTAGAAACTGACGTTTCTCGCAGAAAATATAACCATTCACTGTCATAAATTATCTTTCGTTGTTGACAAAAAAGGGCATCGAAGGGCATGGAACAATCCATATATAGACAATCAAGGCATAATTTATCATCAATATGAAACAAATCTTAGGACACGAAAGAACTTTCACTTCGCTATGTATAGCTAACAAATTATTTTTTCGTTAAGTTTGATGTTATGAGTTTGATTTTGTAGTTTTTAATTTGCTTTGGCTTGAACCATCCTGCCTTATTTCATACAGCAATTAAAACTTTGCTTGGAGTCAACAACAGAAAAGGAATTAAAACCTCGCTAGAAAATTTCCACCAAAGCTTTTTCAATACCTTACAGTAACATAATTCCATTTTAATACCTTGCAGTAACAATTGATCGAATAATTAGGTATTTTCTTACCACTGTAGTCAGAGACATCAGAAATAGAGAAGCACCAGGGACACATGTTTCTATATTTGGAAAACTGCCCTTTTTAAGAATTGCCTTTTTGAGAAATTATTTTCTGAGACATGGTGTCCTGTCCTCCTTGGGGTTTGAAGTGCTTCCCATATCCCTGGCGGTTGCTAATGGAGATGAATGATACAGCATTTTTGATAAGAAAAAAGTTGTTTAGGTTCAATCTTCTTTAATTACTTCTATACTAAAAATTTGCATTTCATTTCAACTGACGAAATTTCAGCTGTAGTGTTTTCTTCTATAATAATTGCGGAAAAGTCCCCTTTCGCCAAACTTTTATTTAAATGTAAAACATGATAAGATAAAACATCGAAATTGATTCCCTGCTCCAAGTTACAAAAATGATGAAGCTCTATGAGTTGCAATTGTGTGCCAAGAAAATGGTCTGTTTGTTAATTTCAGAACATTTTCAAAGTTTGATGATAAGATATTCTCCGTAATCTATGCTGTTGATCTTTTGCAGCATAGGGAAATTGTCCTCGGAATAAAGCTTTTCTTTGCAGTTAAAATGTTAGCTGCATGGCTCTCCACTCAAAGATATTTTTTGCCGTCTTGTTTTTGGTACTATTGTGGAGTACTGAAGCTGCGTTCACTCATTCCACCTCTACAGCTCCCTATCCTTGTGCCAGTTCGTCTGACCAACTGTGAATATAAATATTTTGTATTTGTTAAGCAACTTTATTTGAATTGATTCAATCTTAGGGTAACCCAAGATACCACGAGCAGATATACAAAGCATTGATTTCCTTACTTGGAAGTGCATCTCCCAAAGCACAGCAGCTTGCCACACAAACATTGAGATATGTGCAGGTAAAATACACAGCCTACTCCAATGTAAACATTTTATGTTGCCACAGTGTCAACTCACCTTGTCACCGACGATAACAGTAACAGTAACCTTGACCGCATGGATAATACATCTATAACGAGAGGCTCATTAGTGGATTTGTAAACAGCGTTAGCTTAATCAAGAACTTACAGTCGCTTTATATGCCTCATTGGATGATTGAATTCTAACCAAATATGTTCGATTAAAGCAAGAAAAAAAGTAGAAGTAACAGAATAACAAGTTCATTTGTTACATTAACTTTATAGGGAAATCCAAATTTCTGTTGAAAATTCCTTGATGATTTTCTGAAAATCTTGAAGAACTGGTGACGAGAATATATTTCTATGTATGTTCTGGATTCCAGAAAGGTTTTCTTGCAAGACAGTAGGTTTAGGAGGCACAATAACTGTGATTTTACAAACATTTTCAGGAAATCTGTCACTTACTAGCAGGGCAGGAAAAAGTTTAGTCTGGTGGATAAGTCAGAACGTCTGGCTCGAAAACTAATTTTCTCGTATAAAAGAGCTCTGATGTACATAATTGAATTTTTTTAGTTTTTGAGTAGTATTCTCAAAGGTAAAAAGATATTTTCTGTCTTAAAATACTTAAGCGCAAAGGCTTCAGAAGTTTTCGTTTGAATGCGATATTTTCAAGTGATGATTTGCACTTCAATTTACACTACAATAACAACAGATTAGTTCTTACGGCGTCCTGGTATGTAACAATGCATATATTCTTGATAGGACATCGTTGGGAGAGCCAGTCTCACTATCATTGATCCTACACTGTTGCTATTGCGATCTTTGCATGTGGAAGTTCAGTACGAGGCTTATGAGCTTATAAAAGACCTTGTGAAATATGAAATAAAAGACGACATATTGCAAAGACTTGTAGGTCTTTTGAAGCCCACTGATGCTGACATTGAAAAAATCCCAGAAGTCTTTAGTGGTATGTCTTATTCTATTAATATTGACGCTGCATTTTCACACGGGCGATTTTTCTTAGACCCAAGCAGGAAGAGCTTTGTGGAGAAAGTTGTCAGTGGCATTTTATCAAATCAACCGAATCTCCAAATGATTATTTATCTTATTTATTTTCCAGCAACACTGTATTGTTCATCTTGATAGTATGCTTTAACACCGTGATAAATATCCGAATCATTTATCTGTAGACGGTAACAACAGCAATGTTTATGTCCGAAATTTTCTGAACAGCAAGGAAGTGTTTTACAACCCCAAACTCCCATGCTGCCACGCCTCTTGACTGTGTGCTAGCATGTTGCTTTTTCCAGTATTTGTTTGGGGGAGACGAGCCAGCATTTGTCTCAAGGGCTGTTAGCTTTTCAAAATTTTGCATCATATGCACATGCGCTGTTAGAGTCAATGTTTTTTTTTTCACACCGCATAATATATTCTGTGGTAGCAAGATTGGTAGGAACATCCATGGCACTTATGCCTGAATCGAATCAAAAGACGAAGAAAATCTAGAGAAGAAGCGGTCACGGGAACAGTTAGAACGAAACTCTGTTTAATATATGCAACCATGATGTATAATACTTTTGATTAAATAACTTGAAGCGCCATTAGATGTAAATTTCTCCATTGCCCTTATGCGCATGCTCATATGATACACTTTCACATTAGACAAATGGATAGAAAAATGACCATAAACAATGAAAATTCATACTCGTCTCCCCAACAAGTATTGTGTTGTTGTTTAGATAGACAGTGATGTGGCAAGTCATTATTCTATATTCGTATCTTTTGTAGATGCAAGTCTTGTTTCTGAAATGGAAGGTAATTCATTTGACGCTTTCTACAGTAAAATCGTTCTTGATTATTAATATATTGATAAACATTCGTGGCTTGCCATATAACAAATGACAGTTTGCAATGTCAAGTGACGTTTTTATGTATGATTCTAAAAAGGGCAGTCTGCAAGTAGTGGCATAAGGATAAGTTCCATCTGGAAGGAGCATATGGTTTCATATGAATTACGGAACTCCAGTCTATTGTATTTCAATACTGCTAACAACTCACAGTCCTCTATAACATTCGCTCTATCTTTTTACTATTGCTTGCAATCAACCACCAAATGTTTGCTTTTTGTATCTTGACATACCAAAAGTGTTAATCAGGATATGGTTTGGTGATAAAAGAGCTAAGTCAGTGTAATATTTCTTAGCAACTCTTTTAGCAAAATTATTGCTCATTTCATTAAGATAATGGTACTCTGTACAATGATTGTGAATTATGCATATGTTGTGAAGGAAAAATGCGATGCAGCGCCACAGTGTTCAGTTCTGGATCCTTTGTTTTTTCTTTCGTATATAAGTGATATGATGGCAGGCTCAAAATCAGTGATAACCTTTGTGCTAAACAGTATGGTATAACTCAAATTAGGCTGCAAGTGATTTGAATCGTTAACCAAAGCGATTTTAATTTAAAGTAATTTTTCAGTTCTCTGTATTAGAATATATTTTTAACCATTTTAAATTGTAAACACGAAGGTTTAAGGCGTGCGAAAAGCAAAGCTTTCAAGCCAAAAAATTCAAGGGAATAGCTGCAAGGACTAGGAGAGAGACAGTTAACATCCTAAGTTTCAATAGGTCACAATTGCGATTAATATGATCAAAATAAACTTTTAAACGTGATAGACATTTAGTCGTGGTATTGATTTAAATCATTTTGAACTTTCAAAGTTTATTAAAAGGTTGAGAGGCAGTGATTGGTTTTAGAAATGAAATAATGGAATTAAAATTTTCGAGTTGGAAAGATGATCATGGCGAAAGAGATCATGGCGAACTTTGTGGCGTAGCAGTATCACCAAATCATGTCATTTTTGCTCGATTTCACGGAAGGGGGCAACCTTTTTGGTCTTAAAAGTTAATGAATGAGTTCAATTTTTAAATGAACCGTGAATACTGGTTTATTACACTGCATGCAGCAAAAACCAGCTTTTTAGTCAATAAAAATTGACGAAGTTTTTTGGCTTGAGAGGGTCTTCAAAAGAAGCAATTAATGTTAGGCTGCTGATATTTGTCATTGTATGTGCCATTGTATTGTATTCGTAACCTTTAAACAGATTAGTTTTTTTGCAATTTTTTTTCATCTTGTAGCTTCACTGCCTCTCTACATTCAGCAAGCTGCAACAGCTAAGTGTATTGGGTAAGGTAGATTTACTTTCATTATCAGAAGAAAATTGACAACGATCTTGATCTTATTAGGTTCCCAGACAATATATAGATTTGTGGCACAAACTTATGGATTTTAGGTGTTTTTTTATTTTTGCATCAGGTTTCACTTTCTATAAACAATATTTTTTATTTTATTTGTGAAATATTTGAATCAGTGTGCTGCAGAAGAGATAAAATCAGTTTATTGTGCTGTCCTGCTTTAAAATGTTTCCCATAGCCATTTTCTTTAAAACAGCCTTTGCTCAGCTTTCAGCATTTTCAACCTTTAAACATGCTGATATCAGTTAGTGAAAAGAAATGAGATTTTGTGTTTCTCTCGTTTTACTTCTTCTCTAATTCTCAGAATCCTCAGTTGTAAAATGAAAAATGTTAGTTACGACTTTTATGCTTCAGCCTTTTGGCAAAAGAAGATTTAAAGACCGCTGAACGTCTCATACAGGTCAGTAATTTACCTGTGGATCAATATGTTATATTTAGGCGTAATCACTTGCCAACCCAAACATTTGCCATCTCTGACAAGACAAGGCCACCCTGAAATCACACTCTGATATGGCAAAGCCACTATGACATCCTAAGTTATAGCCGATTCTTACTAAGATATCACATTTCAACGTATGACTTCTTCATACTTAGCTATCATCTTTTCTTCAGTTGCATTAGCTTTCCCAAATTGTAACATTATCACACCATATAGTCCTTTCTTTATCAATATTCTCTGGATCTTCGTTCATATCCGTTTGTGGTTTGTTGAGCACTCGTGCTTTTCCGTTCTTTGCACACTCTAATTGCTACGTGCTTATTATTGCCGTGTTTCTGGATAGTGCTAAGTTTTATCCTTTCACCTTGGCTCTACCTAATAAGGCCCTATATTCCGTGCGAATACAGTCAATTTGATGCAAAGTCCTCCTGGCAATGGGGCTTGGTTTCTCTGTTTTGCCGTAATGTTGATATCAAGCCCGATTACAGAGTCTTGTAATTATCTTCCACCTTTTCTTTGTCACTTGTTACTAGCCTGAGGATACATTGAAACATATGAAATAAATACAAACAAGTAATTCTCAGTATAGGTAATTCTCATTACCTATACCTAATTTTTAAACATAGAATGGCACATCAAACTTTCTAATATCTACCACCGCCACCAAATTTCCAAAACAAGAAAATGAAAACAATTAATTTTTTCAAGATGCATTATCTCTACCGTATAGGCGGGGTCTGCCTACTTCCCTGATGTCCACTAAAGCAGCTCGGTCCTATCTTTTCGTAACCAGTGTCTCTGTGAATATTTCTGCAACTCCCTCTCTTTCTAAATACCCTCTTGTTTGTCTTGGATGCCATAGCAAAGTTTTCGCAATTTGTTGTTTTGCCTACGTAGACACCAGCCTATTTTTCAAATTATGGTGTTCCGTCTGACCATAGGTCTCTCTTGCCATCAACGACTGCAATTTAAAATAAAGGTAGTTAATGATCCTGGAAAATTAACTATACTTCCATGTTTTATCTCAAACGCTTAATAATCTGCCAGAATGCTGCGAGGGTCGTGAAAATAAGACATCTGCAGTCTCCATTTCGAATTCAAAGTTTTGCATTTCCACAACAGATCAGAAACAATAGTTGGCAATCAACTTCTGGCTATTGTACAGCTCTCTTCAAATATGGTATCATTTCCGAGTTCCAGATGCTGTTTTGACTGAGTTCCATCCATATTCCAAACAAAAACTTCATTGTTTCAATTCCTTTACTTCCGAGGCACAAAACATTTATTTCCGAATTCTAGGATTGACTGCTGTTGTCTTCCACAGCGTCTGGAAAATCACGACAGAGAAGAAGGAAGGAAAAGGGCGAACGAATCACATCAAACTGGCAATTTTAAGATTTTGAAGAGACTGCGATAAAACTTATAATTTCTAGGTTTCACTTTTTTAGTCTAAATATTACTTATTTCAGGCAACACTATTTTTAGCTATATGTTGGAAAACTGACTGAGTTATGTGCACCAAGAAACTCACTCTGGATCCGCCTCTGCTATGTAATACTATTTACTGTTTTTGTCTCTATTCTGCTGTCTCTATCCTTCGACTCTATACTTGAATTTTCTATCCAATTGATTAACGATAGTTGTGAAAAATTTTAACAGCTCGGTGCCGTGGAAGCACTTCTATTTGCAATGGGCAATGAAAAGCACCCCGAGAGTCAGAAGCAGGCCGGAATTTCTCTCGAGGTTTGGGTCTTTCTAATGTTCAAATTTATTTTATCTTTCATTTTGCTTTTTAACTTCTTGGTTTACAACCTCCTTTCATTATGCTTCGTTCATTAGGGTGTATTTCTTAAGAATGATGACACAGATATTTAACTTGTTTATGTTGCACAAAATATCGAACATTTTTTTGAGATTCTTTGATTTGGAAGCTACTTTTGTGAAGTATTATTTTTCAGTTTATTTTGCAACAGAAATGTACCGTTGGTGGTACTTATTCTACCAGACTTTTGCACCATGCCTGATAGTGGTGGTTAGAATCATTTTATTATTGAAATTGCTTCAAAAAATTCTAAACACAGGCAAACTTTTTCTTCTAGTTCTTTATCAGGAGGTTTCCCTATGTTGATGACGCAGTTCGAAAGGCTCTTGGCGACTCATTTTATCGCGAATTTATGGTAGGATGTTTTACGTATATGCTAGATTGTAATAGGAATCTCCCAACTCTCTGGCATCCTTCCAGATCTTTCAGAAGTATCGTGAAAGTGACTGGCTGCCTTATGACTTATGTCGTATTTTTATTTACATCATCCATTTATCTTGTAATTTTGTAGTTATACTTTTCTAGTTTAAATACTTATATATTTCTCATTATTACTAGAAGTTTCCATTCTCTAGACGATATACTACTTGCCAAGTCTTGGCAACTGATTTTTAATCATAACACCCCGTTTAGTTTTCGTTTGTCTGACTTGCAGTCTCAACCCGATGCCGTGTATCTAAAACTGACTCAAATCCAGATCAATGTATTGCTGCAAATTCGTTTGACCATTGACCAAGGTTTGTAGGTCACCTGTTTTTATCCTTAAACAGAACTTCAATAGGAGAAATTTAATATCTTCATTTTCTACAGCCATTCTTTTGCGATCTTTTGTTTAACCCTTAAACAAATGCTGTCAACAGTAAATTTTTGCTAAATCTCGCTCCCGAATAGTGCTATTGTTAGTCTTTGGAAAGTCCTAGGAAAGTTTTTATTTTCCAGATTTTCCAGGGACCAGTAGTTTGACAAATATTAAACTTTAGTTCATCCATCATCCACTTGAAGTTATAAAGCTCACAAAAAATCTTGATAGTATCTAGATTCTCGGATATTCTCAGCTTTGATACTGCTTTTTTTTAAATAGTATTTGAGTATACCAGGTTTACTGCTTCACAATCTAATACTGAACTGTATTAATTTCATTTCATTCTCCCTCAGCATTTTGATGCTGCTTTACTTCAACTAATACTGAACTGTATCAATTTCATTTCATTCTCCCTCAGCATTTTGATGCTGCTTTACTTCAACTAATACTGAACTGTATTAATTTCATTTCATTCTCCCTCAGCATTTTGATGCTGCTTTACTTCAACTAATACTGAACTGTATTAATTTCATTTCATTCTCCCTCAGCATTTTGATGCTGCTTTACTTCAACTAATACTGAACTGTATTAATTTCATTTCATTCTCCCTCAGCATTTTGATGCTGCTTTACTTCAACTAATACTGGACTGTATAAACGTCCTTTTCATTATATCTCGATATCTTAGTATAGCTTTACTCTAATTAGCTAAAACTGGACTGTACTACTTTCATTTTGTACGCTTTTAACGTTTTAAGCTCTCTGTAATGGTACTCAACATTTTTAAATGCTCCTTGGTTGAAAATTTCAACCCCATTTCTATTTTCTTTCTTTTCCTGCTTTTATTAGTAATTTTGTTTTATCCAGGTTCATGACCTTGTGATCTGCACCATTATCCTTTTGCTTCCTACTTGCCAATGTAAAGGTAACTTTATTTCAAAACTTTCATCCGGGACTGATTTGTATTAATATTTGTTCGTAGTACATTTTACGAAAATATCAATCATTTTTTGAACATATTTTCCAGTGTGTATATAGTATGATTGCGAAAAACGAACAGAAGGATAAGAGTCTTGATTACATAATTATTGTCCATTACGCTATCGAATTATTGACACATACCTCCAAAAATTAATATGTTTTTTGTTTTTCCCGTGATCAAATTATTCTAAATATCTTTTATACAAACTACTTTTCTATCTTCTGAAAAAACTATGCCATAACGAATATTTAAACTAGTTACTAGCTGCACTGCTAGCAATGAAATAGAGATCTTAAGTGATGGCGTCAAAAAATTTATTTTCAGCCATTTTTAATTTTGGATTCCATAACTTTAAAGAGCATCATAAAATAACTTTTAAGGGGCAAAATTTAAATGTATTTTGAGTTAGTTAAGGTATGGCCGAAGGGGAACAAGCTTTTTCCCACGAAACCCTTGTAATTTGGTTTCTGTTCAATATTTAGTTACAATAGTCCTTTAACAAGATTCAAGCTTCAGATCTTTCATTGGCCATAACTCACCCGATTTTTTGACACAAGTACTTCGCAGTCCTTTTTTAGATAATATGGTCAAATTCAGAAATTCTACAATATATTTTTATGACATCACACTTAAGAACTCTTTATGTTACCTATGATTATTGTACGTTATATGCACCACAACAGCAGGATAGATCATCTTGTTGCCAAGTAGGCAAATAGCTTTCAATGGCTATATTATATCTCTAAGTAAGCCATTCCATGTTATTTAATTAAGAACTCAGTTTTGATAGAAGCCAAATACAGTGACCGTTGTGAAACTATAAGTTGTACCAGCTTTGCTTAATTTAAGCATTGTATATGATATATGTATTGAGGACAAGGTGGGAATTTGTACCTACTATTATTGCGATATCTCATTATTCACAACATAAGGATAATTTCTCCCTATTTTTATATGCTATTTTTTGCAAATCTGGCACCAGTGACCTTTTTAAATTTTGTCGTTTCATGGCAAGGACATAAAGTAATGGATAAGAAAAGTGAGACCACGTTAAAATCTTTAGAACTAAAAGCTTTCAGCGAGAAGCTATGAATAAAAAACATACTCATTTTCTATAATTCTTTTAAATCAGCATTTGCCGTGTCAAGATTTTATACAAGCTTATCTTCTTTACCCGTAATTTGCATCTAAACTTATTTGCACCGCTTTTGTGTAGACAAAAGGAGTTCGTTTTCACCTTAGGACTCCATTGGTAACATTCTCAATAGGCAAGCGGCACTGATTAGGCAACCCCAACAGTCATGTGCTCGCGTTTCTGATTGGCCGATTCCGACCCACAACTGGGTATAATATCCCCTTGCTCTGGGGTTTCAACACCATAGGACCTAAAAAAAATCATTTTCTTTTACAACTCATGCTGGTGAAAGAGCTTAATGAGCTGACATTTTTTCTTGACTGGAGAAATTAATGACATCGACTGGCAGAGAACAAGATTTAATCTATGGGCAGCAAAGTGTAAGAAGTATGCAAAGGGAAGTTCAGCTCTGACAAGTGCCTGAACAACTGCAATATGTCCAGCCATGACAGCTGCACCATCATAAGTTTGCATGATCAACTTTTCTTTCGAAGATTCACCATATCTGCCTAACACCTTCTTAACAATTTGTAGAATAGGAGGAGCTCATCTATCTATGCTTACATCATGGAGTTTGAAGAACCTTTCAATAATAACAATCACTATCTAGCCTAATTATTGCACTCAGTTGCTATTTTGTAGAAACATTCGTTGTTTCATCCAATTGGAGGCTAATAAATGTGAAATTTTCAACTTCTTTGTCAATCTGGTCTTGAATTATTGAGTCTATACATTCAATCAGATCGTTCTGAATATCTGCAGAAACACCAGTAAAAACACCGCCAGTACTCGATCCTCTTTCATTTTCCTAAAGTCTTTCATAAAGCCTACGCTCAAAAACAGAATCAAATTTTGCAAAAACTTGAAGAAGCTCTCTGTAATTTTCTTTATTGTGACTACCACTTGATTCATCATGACCACAAAAGGATAGTTCCTGCTTACCTACAAACAGAGCAGCTCCACTAATTATTTTCAAAATTCCTCTATTTTGTCTCACCGTCTCGTTGTGTCTTTCTACCTCTAGCCTTCTTAACCTGGACGCCTGAACATCAATACCATCGTTGACAGTAAACAATCTCCATGTTTTATTTGCGTCTCAATGTGCCTTGGAATTTTCATGTTTCACACAGTCACTTAAGAATGGACGCATGTTGGTGTACCCCTTCTCAGTCCAGCTTCGTGATACATTAGACTTAAATATCAAAAAAGGCCAGCAAAATAAAGCAGACCTACCTTCACTACCACACAGCCATTGTTTTTTTCATACCAGTCGTCCTCGAAAACTCTCCCCTGTGTTTTTAACTCCAGTTTAGGCATGGGCTTTTCCTGCCCTGCAATATTCTTTTGTTCGATTGCCGATCTTGCCCCGAACGATTTCGCCAAAAGTTGAGCCACAAAATCCTGATTCGAAAACGCTCTCCCTAACTGTAACTGTGCCATTGTGAATGTATCAGAAAATCAGTATGAGAAGGTTTTGTAAGTATATTTTTTGCACGAACCTTTATCATTTCCCAATAAACCTGCAATGATTTTGATATTTCAATTTACTTATTTAATTTTTTTGATATTGTCGGTCTGGGTACAGAAATGCATGGCAAATTTGGTTATGCAAAAATGTACCCAAGCACTTAAGCATTAGGGTACCAAAACGTATGGTGGAATTTAGCATCCAAAGCGGTCCAGGTACACGAACGAATGGCGCTGGCTACAGACCCGTGGTTCGAGTTCCTGGCATGACCAAACTTTCAACCAGAGTGTGGAGAGTTGCCAGCTCTCTGTAATTCCTGGCGTAGGAACCACGAGGTGTGGTGACAACGAGAGGAAGGACCACAAGCTTAAGCTTCCTAGTGTCCTTAAAAACTACCTTCGGGTGCTGGGTAGAAATAAATAAGATCGCACTACGATGAAATCACATGATTACGTTTCACAATGTTACACTTTTGCATAGGGTACCAAAACGCATATTACACCAGCTTTAAAAGAAGGTAAGATTTTTGGCCGACCAAATATTTGGACGGCCCCGTGTAAAGGCAGCCTGTGATGCAGCTTGTTCAGTGGTCAAATCAGCCAAGGAATACACAGTCCGTAACGGTCTGATATTTTTCAATGATATTTTGGCATTGGTAGAATGTTCGCGTATGTTTATGACGTTGTTTTGCTACTTCTTGCTAGTTGCTTGCTGCTAAGAGCTAAGACATTAGGTTTGTAATGCCATGATTTGTTCATTATATCCCATTACACAAATTTCACGAGCTTGAACATAAAACACAGATTCAAAAAAAGGACAGCATAAAGTGAATAGTTAGCCCTCGAATGTGATTATGATTTGTACAGAAATTTTTGCACATGATACAAATGCAAAAGGTTTTTCAAAGTTTCATAAGCAAAGATTCAGTATCCTGGTTTGTGAGCTGCTGCCTGAGTGAAGAGTTTCATCAAAAAACCCTTACAAAAACCTTAGTCGAGCAAATTAGTGTATGCAAAAAGGCTTTGTAATGTGGTTTTTGATGTTTATAACTTTAATAATATTCCTTAAACATCTGCATCGCTTGAGGTGGAAAAGTTGGTCACTAATAGTTCTTACGCAATTTTGAAGTCGAAGTTATCTTCAAAGGTTTTTTGCTTTAGTCACAGATGGCACGCTCTCTCTGTTTCACAAATTAAGTCAAAGCTGCTAAAAATATTATTTCTCTAATTTAAAGTATACATTTTGACAGAAATTATCAATAGCATTTAAAAGCGATTCCAACTTAACTGACATGAATACAAAGCGTATAAATAAATACTATAGTTTTAAAGTTTTGCGGAACACTCTGGAAAACCTAATTGCAGGTTTCTTACCCAGAAATAATTCAGAATATGGTTTTACATCTTTAAATTGTTTCAATACCATTGGAATGACTTAATGTAGGATGATTGTTTAAAAGACGACCAACATATCACGCAACTTCGTTAATTGACTTGAAATTAGTAGACTTTAAATGCCTTCTAGCTCGAACTGTTAAACTTCACCTAAAAATTGTGCATTTATCACTTTCCGTGCTTTAAGAGTTTAAATTTGTTTTAATTCGAATTTTGGCTGATTATGTGTATTCATCTTAGACTTAAATATGAACTAGAACATGCACATGTATTAATTTCAATACTTATCATTAGAAATAGGAAGTTCGTGTTGCAATTCGTTCCCTAATGCTGAACAGTTGCTCTAAATTTTCAGATAACATATTGTCCTACGGTAACAACATTGTGTTCTGTGTCGAATCAAAAGTTCTACATAATCTTAAGAACGTTAAAACGATATTTCTGCCAAGCCTTCTTTGATAACGTTAGCCAACACATTTATGTCGAACACCAAGAACATAAAAGGAAAACTCAGTCGTATAGAGTTGTAAAAAACGTGTAAGGATAATTTTCAGCATACATTTCAAGATTTTCTGTCAACATCAAGTCTTTGAAATCATGACTTCCTCACTTGGCAATTTATTATAGCAAAATATCCCCAGGTCCCCGAAAATAATACACAGGGACTACATGCTGTAAAATCAAGAGCATAAGCGTTTAAGGAGTATTTGTCGTCCAAGACGACATTAAGTAGAGTTAGTTATTTAGGTCAACGAATCTCTTCGTTGGATTCATTTAAAAGAGGTCCTTCCCATCGTCCTCATTTTGTTGGAAATTGGTACACAAAGATTATTGTTGACGACTGCATAATGTTGCAACAAATGGACACGGTTTCTAATTGTTATTGTCATTTAGACAGAAAACTGTGCAATTGACTTTTTTCTACAATCACCACGACATTTTCCTACCGACCTTGCTTGGTCTCTCCCAGAGTTTCCTACATCCCGTTCGAAGCAAGTACTTTGCCATTTTCAATAAATTTCAAGTTTACTCCAAGCTTCTTGGCTGATCAAATTAGATCTTTAATGCTGCGAATTCTATTGCGGCTAAAGACAGTACGGGATAAATACTTTTGCTTCGTGAAAACTACGAGTGGGCATAAGGCACCCTCAGGTAGAATTAAGAACTGCATTCATCATTGTGCGCTCTCGTGAAAGGGGCTTTGAAGTAAGGATATTGACCGACGCACTCTCTGTCGCTTATTTCGTCCGTTTGATAGAAATTTGTCATCTATCGTACCGTTTTTGTTAATTTCTTGGTCAGAATCGACATCTGTGATGAGAATATTGATTGCCGAGTCCTGTCGTGGCAGGAAAGTTGCAGACTGTGGATTTTCAGCATCGTATGCTTTGAGAAGTCGATCATGGTCTATGCTGCTTGTTCTTTCTAGCACTTTATTGCTTTTCGATTTGCCAATACCGACGATTCTCTTTAAGAAAGGACTCGTAATGCTCCCATTCCTGATCATTGACGGAATATTACGATCACTTAAGCTCATTTTTTCCTTCAGTTTTTCTTTGCTTCTTCTCTTCGACTTCTGTTTATTATCTAAGTCTAATTTCTCTACTGAGTTCAAGCTCTCTTGATCGGAAGACTGCATTGCCTTATCATAATTGGAGAAAAGATTTGCCCCGTCAATTGTTCCATCTATATCGACGGGCACAATCGCATCTACCGGCGCGAGTCGCGTGCGCATGACGTCACTTGCTGCACGATCTTCAAGAGTACTAAGGTTCGGACTGGACGCCAGCCTAAAGCAGGACTGGTCACTCTTGTTTTTATCATGTATTGGTTGATCTGTCATGCTTTTTCTCCATGACTTTCTGTAGTCAAAGTAACCTTTTTTCTTCTTCTTTCTTTCCTGCATAGGCGATTCTTTCGGGATTTCTCCCGATGCCATCTCTGATGACAAGGTTGAGGCAGACTTTGAGACGCCCTTCTTAGGATCCATGTGATCCGTGATTGGACAGGACGTTGGGGTTAGTGCCATCCTTCTTTGACCTGGAACCGTCATTTCAACCATCACAGCAGCCAGACCACTAAGACCGCTAGATACCATACCTGCAAAATGATTGGTGAATTAAAAATGTATCCTAATGCATGCTGAACGTCAAGAATGGAAGACGAGTTTGAAAGGAATTTTTGTTTGTGCAAGTGTAAAATGTCGCGTTTATATAAAAACTGTTTTTACATAGAAATGAGGTTTTTTTTAAAAAGCCGTGCAGTATTATTGTTGAGAGAAAATTACATTTGATAACGTAAAAAAATGGTGGAGATGAAAATGACTGAAAATAAGGATGCGAAAGTGATAGATGATCATGCCTCTTAAATAGTCATGCCTCACCTTTGTATTCAAAATTTATTGCATGTTTAATGTCTATTATTAAAATTAAAATTTCAGCCTTGCATATATTTAAAGAAAAGCTCGTTAATCATTTCGATCATGGGTGCTAAATTGTGATTGTTATGGGTGCTAAATTTTCCCTCTCCCCCTTACAATTTTCCAACCTGTGTCGGACCCCATTAGCCTTGTAGAGTATCAATAGCCGACATTCACAACAAACTAGCATATGTAGCCGACATCTGCGTACCTGATTTCTTGCCAAATCTTGGCGTGCTTGCGGCAGAAAGCCCCGAAGAAGCGACTGAAATTGCTTGTCTGCGCATTCTTGGCGTTTTCTTGTCATCGTCAGACACTGAAACGAGAACATCACTTAGTTATCCATGATTGATTAATAGTATTCGTTACAACTTCGCTTTCGATGGTAGTTGTAAGAACACTGTAAGGCTGTGCTCATCGAGCAGGATCATAGTCCTTTCTCTTGATGTGACTTCACCTCGTGACCTCTACGTCTAGATTTACACAGATATAGTGACATTTCAGGGACTTGTTTTGCTATTTCAGGGACTCGAACCAAGACCCTTGGATTTTTTTCCGTGAAGCTAATAACTGAGCCATCCTCACACTTTAACTCTAAAAGAATACAGAAAATTGTATTTTGTTTTCATTGAAAGTTATCAATTCAGAAAGTGCCACAATTTTGACAGTAATGTGTTTTTGTATTATCGAGGTATTGGTTTCATGTTGCATGAAATTTCTGCCAGTTTTCGTTTTCATTTTTATTCAAATGAAGAGATTTTCCGCTACGGAAATATTCCAAAACCTCGTCCAGAGTGTATAGGTTTGGGCATCGTTCAAGCATCTTTGATGGCTGAGACATGAAAAAAAATGAAATGAAGACTGAGCCCCAAGTTTTGTTGCTTGTAAATGTAACTGTGCATTGTTGCAACAAAAGTGTGACCTCGAAGCAAAACTCCAGAACATCTGGCAGCTTTTGAAAGGGCGAAGTTACGGTCTATCTGGCTGAGTACAAGTGCGCCTCATTGATAATCGAACGAAGTTCTGTGGCTTTCTTTCGCAGGTCACTCTAGGGTGCCATTGGACTAGCCTACGCAGTAAGAAAAGGTCTCGACGTTATTTGTTTAGTAGTTAGGCTTTTCACCTGCCCATCTTCCTGCAATTTGATAAGATTTTGTTGAAAAGCATTTTTTCGCACATCTAATCTACCAAATTCAGGCTTTTAACGATCAATGCACAGCATTGGCCTGCAGAGAAATTTTTCCCGCTCAGAAAGCCTTTATTTTCTTTCTTTACGAGTTTTTTTATCTCTGTGAAACGAAATTTCAGCACATTTCTAGACCTTCAATATGATATGATGTTATCATAAGTTTTTATAAACTGAAGATGGTGATTCATGTCCTTAATATCATGTGAAGCGATCATGTTAAATCATTTCTTCTGAAATCGTCCACTTCGATTCATCTGTTTTGGCTACAGAAATCAGAATATTGTCCCATATGGCCATGAAATATGCTTTGATAAGCTATTTTAAAAATGTTTTCATGATTATTTACCTCTCCCTGCATGTTTTAATTCCTTTTCGCTGATTTTTAAGATTATTCTTTTTCAAAGGGATCGGGTTTGTTGCAAATCCTTGCAAAGTGAATACCGTGTGGCTATTTGCAATTACTTTTTCAGCTGTTTGCTCTTAAATCATAATGGCAAACAGAAGATCAGGACCCCACTGTCGACCAATAATGAATACTTAAAACGTCGTTTGTCACAGTTGCGTCATTATTGAAAGCTTCATACTGCGACTATCCAGTATTTAACGATTTTGAACTTTCAAGTTAAGATTCATACCGTGACATGCAAAACATTTGCAGCTGCCCTTGAATAAGACCCCCTTGCTCTGCTCGTGCTCCTCTATTCATTCTTTCTCCCTTTGTTGGCCTGTTTTCTTCGAGTTTTTCGAATACTCTTTATATGCTGATTCAAGATCGCCTCAAGTGGCCGCACTCACTCAAAGGAAAGGCTTTTTTTTGGAAACAAGCCAATGACTCTGATTTGATGTTCTTTGTCTTGTAATGAAGACTTGTTTCTTCAGGAGATCTTTTCGAAATACATATGACTTTGCCTGATGTTTGACAACACCAAGCGCAATACAGGATAATCTTATGATAACATCTTTAGGCCAATGGCTTTACTTCAATTCTTCCACTTTTCATAGAAGATCTGTTTAATATCAGTAATTCGTATATAAAAATTATGATACTTACTTTCTGATCCATTGATACTCTGTTCAGGCTCTCTTTGCTCGATTTTTGCATTGACAAGAGCTTTGTCTGCCATGACCAAGGCAGGCTGTTTTCGTTTTGGCAGTCTAAGACGAGCTTGGGCGTAAGAGTAGTATAAGGTGAAATTGCTGCCAATCACAGAAACAGGCAAGGCAAGTATAAGGACACCAGAGCATGCACATAGTGCACCAACAACTTTGCCTGCAGATGATCTTGGAGTTACGTCACCATACCCAACTGTTGTCATAGTTATTATGGCCCACCAAAATGTTTCAGGAATGCTGTCGAATGTTTTCAATTCTTGTTGCTGAAAGTGCAATAAGATCAAATTAGTTCCTCGAATACACCAAGAAGCGAGAGGTCAGTCTGCTACCTTACTACTTCATGTAAGCAACTTTGATGTAAACCAGGTTAGATTATGAAATATATCTGTGTATCTAGAAACTATAACAAAGGCAACGGTCAACAAACATAATCATAAGTATAATCATGCCAGCCTTCATTAATTGAGACTGGCTTTTGAATTCATCATCGCTTTTCCAAAATAGTAAGCTCGTATTGTTTCATGGAGAAGAAGGAGATGGCTGAATTATCCTTTAAAAACTGACGTTAAAGTGTGACAACTTTACAGTGATTCTAACCGAAACGCATTTCGTGAAGGCCTCTAAAAATGCCTGTTATTATGGTAAAAAATGATTGCAATGAATCTTCATTAATATTTAAGAATAATATTTAAAGGACTTCAAAAAGCAATTTCATCAGTTATTGTAGAAAATCATTTATCGTGCTAATTTTTTCAGTATTCAGACAAAACATGAAAAGAGACCGTGCTTGCCAGTTTCCAAATTGAAGGAAATCTTTCTGTTTTTCAACATGGATTGAAAGTTGCTGTCGTGATGTCAGCAACCTGTTTGTTGTATTCATTTTGGGAAGATTCATGAAAAGTCAGTTCCGTCAAATCTTATCGTTAGTTAACAATTTTTGGCCTTTTGTTTGTCTAAAGTGATAAACAGACATTTTACAGTCAATCGCCGCTTAAAAGAAGTGGACATATAAGAAACGGCAACCTGCGAAAAAGGATATTTTCTCAATTTTTAATAGTGGCAGCCTTATCTTTTTCAATGTTCCTTTAAATGTCGCAAAATTGAAAACGTTTTATCAAAGTTTTAATATAAACAGTATGTTATAATCAAATCATCCATAACCATTTTTTTGGTATCCTTCTTTACTTTGCAGTTTGGTTTTTTTAAATGAATATGTAAGTAGACTGACTATCGGTTGCGGATAAGAGACTGTTGTCTATCTCGGCTAATGCTATCAGATACTGCATTAAACTTGAGGCCTGAACGTCCTTAAGGCCTTCATGATTTCTCGAAAAATTGAGAACAATCAATTTTCTTTGTATTTGCTAGAGAAAGGAGGTAAGTGTTTTGTTTGGTAAGTGTCAATTGAATGCATATTTTGGAGACAGTGTCAAAGGAACGCAAACTTTCTTTCAAGGAGTCACGCTTGCCACTTTTCAAGATGTTGAAAAATGTTCGAGATAGCAGAACAGGAAATGTGAAAATATGCTGGGGCGACTGACACAACTAAGACAGTACTCGAACCCCCTAAAAGCGACTTTGCAAACAACTTTGAGTGAAAAGGAGCATAAGAATTTGCCATCAACGGGTAAACAATTTCATTCGCTACTTATATTAGTTCCGTCCATCCAGTGTAGGTCCCAACCAATCCTAAATTCTCGAAAAGAAATTAATTTGCAGCGTTAGAGGACCTGATTACTTTACTTCTGTTTACTTTAGGTTCTTAAAAGGTTTTGTTTTTCTTTTCGAGGTATGGCGCCCAACAAGGTTCAGAGTGTGGTAACACCCAAGAACGCCATTATGCCAGTCATAATATTTGGCCAAATATGAATTAAAAACGAAGAAAATTGCTCATTTTTAACCAAATCAAGGAAACCTAACGCGATATTCAACCTAAGCATATGGGATTGCATTTGGGATTTTGTACATTTCAACCCCTGCTCTTATGGCATGGGAGACAAGAAGGACATTTTTTGAGAACAGATAACAATATGAATAAATAATGATATTTGCAAACGTTGTTTGTCGAAAAACTAAATTATTTTTGTTACCTTATCTCCACTGAATCAAGCACCTACTTAGAGTCAGACAATAGAGCCGATCATCTTTAGCAATGCTTAACGGTCTTAACAAAACTCTGGTATATGCTATTCAAACTGAGACTATGTTCACATTGCTCCGTATTCGTTTTTATCCGTTTTCATATCGATCCGTTTTGCCTGTTCACAATGCTCCGGATACATTTGAAAACGGTATGAAAACGATGAAGCGTTCACAGTGCTCCGCTCTGGATAAAAAGGAAAATGCCACCAACTGGTTTACAGCAATCGCGACTGCTAAAAAACTTTTTAAACAACTCACTGCCACTAATATTTCTCCGAGTAGTGTACTAACTTCGCGATGTTAAGAAAAATTGTTCAAATTGGCGCGGTGCAAGCTTCTTGCTGTATTGTTGTTGTTTTTAGCGTTTTCAAAAGTATCCGTTTTCGGTGTTCACACTGCGTTTTTGCGTTTTCAAAAGACTCCGTTCTCAAAAGTCTCCGTTTTCAAAGTGCGTTTTCAAAAGTCTCCGTTTTCAAGGTGGAGCAGTGTGAACGCAAGGCACAAACGGATACTTTTTTATCCGTTTTCATTTAAATCCGGAGCAATGTGAACGGGACCTGAGAGATGCAACTTTAGATTAATAAAATTTTGTTTCAAAACGAATACAAAACCAAGATTCTGTCATCGTTTCAGTTTTCTTTGAATTCGTGACCTTTTTGCCTGAAAAAATTTAGGCTTGAAATGACGGAAAACCAGGCATTAAACGACTTGCTATGCATAAATGCGCACGTGTGGACAAGGTCCTAGGTTAGGCTGTCAGATTCTAATAGAACACTCAGTAATTTTCTTTAAAACTTTGGTATATGCTCTATATGATTCAAGAGAAAGTAGTATTATGTTTACTATAGATGTATCTCCCTAATACTCTCCTATGTGTTTCGCATTTATATGTGGGGAAAGGGCGCTAATTACCCCCATAAGCAAGAAGCTACTTTTCCTTACAAATGCCAGCGTGTGTCATTACTGTTGTGGGGTATGAACTCTAAAGATTGCGTTCAACACGCGTTCTCTTTGACAGTTAGACTTGGCACTCTCTTTCCCGACCATTTTCTCCTAAGGCAATTCTTGAAAAGACGCAATATCTTGAAACGAGATACAAATTTTTCAGAATGCAAGGACTTGCCATATTGCAATCAGATTCTTTTCAAAAATAGAACCAGACTGAATAGGAAAATAGATTTGCGGAAAATTTAATCGTCCAGTTTTGCAAAAAATTGCTACAGAATAAGGTTTTATTGAATCATTCAATCAGTACACTCTCGTCAAAGGTGTTATGATAGCATCAGCCCTCAAAATACTATATTCGCATAATTTCGGTATACCATGCTGATGTTTACTTGTTTTAGGTTTCAATTCAATTTCATTTCTTCGCCGAGTAGGTTTAATCTTTTAATAACATTGGTGCTAATCTGTTTTAGTATTGACTGGGTATTACAGCATTAGCATGTTATCAGATAACTTTGAACACACAAAATTCATACATAAAAGATTTTTTTGTTCCGAAAGTTAATAGCCTAAAAAGCGCCCTTTTTATCTTAAATGATAAACATTAAAAATGCATGCCAGGCTGAGATTGAACACAACTACAGGACTTCTAGCGGCTAGTTTACAGTTTGTTTGTCCTAACCTTCGAAACCGATACCCCATAACCGAATCTATCGCTGATAATGCAAATTGTAATCGAAAACATGTCACAAAAGATACAGGTTTAGTGATAGCAACACGGACTTTAACAGAAGAATGCTACTGCATTGAAAGTTCTGTTAGATTTGTATTCGTTAGGACTGATTATAGGTGACTCACCTGTTCTGCAAAATAGGCCAGGGTTGAAAATATCACCATTGGAATCAAGACAATCAATACGAGTAAAAATAACTCCCTGGCACTTGCTTTCAAGGTTTGTCCTATCACTTGCATCCCGCTAAGGTTCTTAAAGAATCGAAATAGTCGAAATATTCTGACCAGACGCAACACAAACAAAAAGTCAAGTACGTTTGAATTCGCGAAGAAATTTATGTAAAATTGAACAATTGAGGCAAGATCGATCCATGTCATCACGCTCTGAAAGAATTTGCTGATGTGTGGACAGCAGCATATTCTTATTATGAAGTCCACTGTAAAGAAGGCACAGTAAAAATATTCCAGGGTCTTGAAAACTCCTCTTTGATCCCTGGCAAATGACATAGTCTCTATGCAAAACGATGCTATGGAAAGGACGATAACCAACAGATTCACCAATGCCATTACCTAAAAGAAAACAAAAATTGTTCAGTAATCGGGAAATACCAAAAGCCATGAAGTGACAACTTCAAATATGTCCAGGGGGGGTGTCAAATTTAGGATGCATTGAATTTAGCAACTGTAAACAACAAGGATAGAATGGGAAAACTCTGCGTGCTCTCTCGATATATTAGTAAATTGTGGTCAAATTTTTGAAGCATTAACGCAATATAAAGCAATAACATAGAAATTGTGATTATTACGCGTTGTTATTGAAAGATTGAAAGATTTCAAGTTTAATTTGCCAGTCAAACACCAAAATAGTTTTAAAAGTTTACTTTTCATAGCTTTCATATTCATAAAATTTAGCAATGTTTTGACTTGAGAATTTTAAGCTTTCTCAGTATAAACGCAACAAAGTTTGTATTTATGTTAAAAAATTTAAGCACATGGATAGATCAAGCACCTAAACTTGAGGTGACTGCTTCAAAGAATATAATTCTTTATCGGGGAATATAAGCTAATGATGTTTTGCTTAAGCTAGGATATAAAAGAGTACTATACATTTAATGTACATATCTGACCTATGTGCATATGAGGGTATACTCTTGAATTTGCGCCGATCTGAGAGATATATCTTCTAAAAACTCCCAGTCACAACTAGCTAAACTTTACCCTCGTTCCGTTTCAAATTGAAACAAAAAAATCATGTTGAAGAGCAAGATAGTTCGCTTATTCATACAGGATCTGAGAATATACATTCAACTTGAAATGCAAGGAAGTCATATGCCCAGTTAAACAAACAATAAACACTATTTTTACCATAATCACTAAAATCCCATTTCCCGCCATTTCAGTCTCGATATGTTCAAAATCAATTCTAAACGAGGCAATACTATAAGGCTAACGAATGTAACTTCATACTTTTGAAAAATTCGGATACTTGAAAGCTGACAAATTCTGCTAGAAATTGTTCAAAAAACTTTATTTCAAGTTGCTGTTTATTGGAAAAGAGAAGCCCCAAGAGGTGAGCTACTATAATTTTAATGTGAGTCTACGAAATGTTGTCTTATCTGAATGTGGCTGATAATGGTTATTGTTGAATCTTTGCGTTGCTTTTTGGAAGTCTAATATTATTGCACACACTAAGACCATATCTAAGACTGCAAGTAACTTATCTTTCCTCTTGGTAAACGTCTGTAACAATCTAAATTGATGCGATTGCTTGTCCGTAATGAAGACTCAAATCAAAACAATGGGAAATCGATTGAATCGACATTAAACTATCGTGAACCATAGTATCCATGATATTTACGAAGCGCTTTCGGAGCTTTGCCCACCTCATCCCTTTTATCAGAGGGCAAAGGATTTTTGCTCCTATGGGCATAACGAATGCTAAACTTTAGGGGAGGCTTAGTAGGGATCTTACCCGGAGGGGGGGGGGGGTTACTCTCATTATGGCCTAACAGGGGGTCCAGTCAGGGTAAATGTGGGCCAAAGCTAAAATGTTAAAAAATTTCAAGTGACTAGAAAGTTATGAAAACGCCCATTATTTAAATTCATTTTTTAACTTTAAGATAAAGAATAAAGCAACATTTTGCATCATTTTGTAACTAACGACTGCCAAAAATTGCTTTTTACCGAATCGAAGCAAAATTTATTGACGAACACATCGCACTCCTCCTCCCCACCCCTAACAATCCCATCCTTGATCAATGATTTGGAAAATAAATTATTTTGAATTTAAAGTCATTGTCTAGATCTGCTGTACCTATCAAGTGCTGGAAAATATTTCGTGGTTTGCTAAAAACGCTAAAATGGTCCGTAAACTTCATCTTCATATTCGTGTGTTATCTTAAATTTATGGTGCCATTGTGAATCTTTCATTGGATTGGTTTTAATCTGAGAATGATGATAACGGCTGATTTCTACGTCACTTTAACTCATGCTAGCTTTTGTCTGCAACGTACTGAGAGCATCAAAGAGAACCGTTTCGCCGACTTTCCCGAATCCTCCAGAATCTACACAAGGAATTACTAGGATTTCGCATTAATGCGATTTGCTTAGGCCGGTTCTAAAGGATATCCGCACTCGTTGACGCCAGAAACTCATTTCTTGGCTGCATGAAAAAATGCATGCGAAACGCTCATCACCGTACCCATTTGCGAAACATCTGCTTGGTGATATTTTGTGAATTCAAAATCAGGAAAGTTACAAAGATAGTCGTGCTAGAATGAGCTATGAAAATGAACGAGCTATGTTAAATCTTTTTGACTTCGTGTAGTGTGTTTGGCTTTGTAGTGTGATTTTAAGAAATATATACGGTTCATAATACCTTTCCTAAACTAACCAAAGTTATCCCCACAAGCGTCAACGATTGCCTATCAATGTCAATACATTAAGCACATATCTACGTCAAAGAAGCATTAATCATTTCTTCAATCGAAAATTTTCCTTTTGCATCAAATATTGGCACAAACAGAGTAGTGTACAGTTTCCTACTGGGGTGCGTTTATAGCTACAGGTAGAGCATGTGCAGTAAGAGCGTTTGATGCACAGCATTGTAGGAATGTTATAATGAATTCAAAATAATTAGAAAACGAAGAACAGACAGAACAAACGAAGAAGAATAAAATCACTTTTGAAGTTTGACAAAGGAACTATGGTTTCAAGAGGCCCTTTTGAGGTGACTTGTAGGTCACGCAATGAAAAATAAAGGAAAAATGAACAAGGCAAGCTATGAGTTTTGAAAATATTTCTCTGCCTGAATGAAATCGCCAGTCTTCGTCAAGCTATGTCTTTTCCATTGTATTTCTCGACAAATGAATTTCTAACTACGACAGGTAGATATTATGTAGACAGCAAAGTTTGCTATACAAGGCGGTTGTTGTAATACGCATGTCCATATGACATGACAGAGAGCTTGATCGGCTTGGACTTATCAGCTTATCTATTGTATATGACAATAGGAGTTGACGTTCACCCAAAAAGATCTCATTTAACAGTTTAATCAATATCCCAGAATTACTGCTATAATTTAGCAAATTTCAAAATCCCGATCAATCCTGCTTTTCAAAAGCTGTTATGACTGACCTCTACTTAGGCACTTTTGCCCGCTCATGCGCGCGCTGTGCAACCTTCTGACCTGATTGGCTCCTAGTTGTTTGTTCGCGCAAAGTCGCTTTGGTAGTCACACCCTTCTCCCAAGATGAGAGGATTTTTTGCTTCTGCGACCATAGCGATCTCAAAATGTTAATGCGTATGGTCGGTTGAAGCGCGCGCGTGGACAAAAACTAAATAAGTGAAAAGTAATAAATGCTGATATTGAATGTTGTCATTTACTACTTTTTTGTTTCCCACGTGGAATACGTGAAAAACTATGCCGAGTACCCGTGTCAACAAAATGTTGATTCAGATTCCCAAAAGTCACTATGGGGCCCTTGAGGTAGTGATTTTGGGTTGCAATGTGCCAACAGCCTTGATGTCTTAACTGTTGCAAATGTATACCACGTAATTCCATAAACACCTGCCTTCGTTAATAGCTTCTGAAACATGGATCGTTATTGTCTACCATAAAACTACCGGCGCTGCGACAGAGACGGAGAAACAGTTGCAGCTTCAAAGCTTATAAATATACACAGTAAGTACTTCTGCATGACAAAGTAGAATGAAATTATGATTCAACATCATCAGTTTTGGGCCGTAAGTTTTTATAAACAACAACCAGTAGTGTACCATGCATTTCGGCAGAGTAATATCTATATACGTGGTAAACCTAATAGAAATTACAGTTTGTCATAAAGTTGACGATGTTGTAAAGGCAGAGGTGTACACGCTTTATGCGGGAGGTTCTATGTTGCCTGATAAACAAATTTAGTGTGAAACTCAGACTTGAAATCTAAAAACATGTTGTTCAACAGACTAAACAGCGTAAAAAGTAGCCCTATTCAGAAAACTAGTTGAAATTTTGCTAGAGGCTTGTTAAATAGATTTGAGTTAATACATGTTTAAAGTGTAGTGCAGTATTAAAATGTTCTCGTGCAGCGATTATCAGGTCAGCGGTGACAAGGCAGAAAGAAGGCTATGACTTATGAAACTTAGAATTGGTTTTGAAAACGTTTTGAAATCTACTTAACCTATTCTCTCGACACTTTTCAGAGAATAAAACATCAGACATATATCGAAAACTCCAAGCCAGGAAATATATATACCCAGTTTTTGATGTTTCATATTTTTGCTTTTTCAAAGCCATTTGTAATTTTTGCAACGCTAGGAAATATTTGAAATTTGGCATAATAGTAAAAGAATCGTCGTAAAAGCTTGTCTGGGAATTTCGTCGCCGTTGTGAAGCATAATCAAGATACCATCTTGCACTGGCATTTCCGGCATCACTACGCCAGTATAAAAGTTGAAATAAAAAACCATGGACAAAGATTATTAGACGAAATTGGAAAGAAATTTTTCGATGAAATATGACCCCAGAATGCAGTCATTTGCAAACACAAATGCTGATTGCCTACAGTTTCTGTAAACAGTGGTTGATAGCAAATGATTTGTTTGTTAAATTTCATCAAATTGCGATCAGCATCTTGATGTTCATCTGGGCTACGACCATAATTATTCCTCTATACCCGAGCATACCATTCAGGCAACAATGAAAACGTTTCACTTTTTTACTGTTCATGCGGTTTGACGTTTGAATGAGGTTGAGTTCCTGGTATGCGGTTTGATGTTTTAATATGGTTGCCTTCCCAGTTATTTCATGCGGTTTGTTATTTGAATGAGGTTGGGCTCCGGGTTATTTTAGACGGTTTTGTGCTTTGATAAAGTTCCCTACCTGATTATGTTTTTGCGGTTTGTCATTTGAATGAGGTAACGTTTGCCGTTAAGTTCGATTCCCACAGGCCACAGACCATACAGTTTTTATACAGCCACCTTAATCATTTCAGTATTAATGTTTGTCTGAAATAAACAACAAATTTCTTGTTATTCATCTAGTTTATTCATCAAGTCCAATACGTAATTTT